ATGGGTGGTCTTCTAAAAAAGTTTAAGTACAAACAAAAGAGGAACAATAGGGGGTCCCTAGTTGCAGGCAAATACACACTTGTGTGTGTGTGGGGGGGGAGTTATACCCCAATGCCCGGGATGTACGCCTATGGCGGCAAGATAAAACTTGCGTTGTTTTAAGCTGTCTGGTCATATTTGGCTTGCTTGTCATTCCAAATAAAAGGTCATTTATGTGATTAAAAAGCATGGTCTTTGAGAAAGATTCTGCTAGGATCGAAACGCCAGGCCCTCCATATTTTGTGATTTGTATTTTAGATCACTGTAGCCAGCAAGCAGTTGGCAACAGTTACACATTGTTGAGAATATTTGTGTATAGAATACACAATTTTGCGTAAATTTACGACTTGCAGTCTTGGTCCAGGCCAAAACAGGGTGGTGTCGACAGGAAAGCTTTTGGCTGTCATTACAGTGGCTCCGAAAGGACAAACGCAGTACACGTACACGTGGGCATAAACGACATTCGTCAAGCCGCCGCGTTCAGACGGATGTGCATCGCATACAGGTGCCGCACCTTTTCACTTAAGCTGGAAAGATCGCACAATGATGTTCGTGTACCTTACACAAACATGGTACTGATCTTGAACTACTGGTGTTTTCACTCGCTGTTATTATTTATGACATTCAACATCTTGAGAAAACAGACATCTCGCCTACACCCTCTAAAGGGAAATAAAACACAGGAACAAGCAAAATAAACAACACTCATAATCCTGCCTACAGAACACTGATCATAACGAACCGACTTTAATTTCAAATAGATGTAGAGAAAACAGGCTTTGGGGCTTCAACCAGAAGACAGAGTTGAAAAGAATGTTAACGAAAAGACCCAATCTTTACATGATAGGACAAATAACGGCCCATTCGCACACGCGAGCAGATAAATTTGGAACTTCGTGTCAATGTCATTGCTCGTGTCCAACCACAATGCATTACAGTGGCTAGTTCCAGTGGTAGGAAACAATTCTCCATTACGTATACTGTAGCGCTGCTTTTTACTTAATAATAACCGACAGCCCGGCATTAACTTAAATCAGCAAAACTTTAAACCATTTTCCCCAATTAAGAACATTCCAGAAATTAAACGAAGAATTAAAGTGCGTGATATCTCTCATGCTGAACCACAATTCCACTTATATGAAAAGATTTAATCATATTGTTTGATGGAAAAAATGGCACCTATTTTCCGGTGGAAAGCAGCATGCACTGCATGTCTAATTGTAATCAACTTGTTAACTTCCCATTTTAACATTAAGGGCTGCACTCGCTTTTGGATACCGAAACAATCACAAAAGTTTGCCTCGGATTGTTGGGCTTTTTGCTTTATTTAAAACAAAGTACACCTCTACATGGGAAAATCTTCCACAGAGGAGTATCAGTTACAAAAAAAAGTACTCCTAAAATAAATAAATCATTAGACGTCGTCAAAAGTAACAAACTACTGCAACAGCTGTCGAATTTGAAGTCAACTTAAACTTTAAATTTCAATTATCACTGAATAACTTTTAAATGATCACTTATTTGTGAAAATCAGTTAACAGCACCATAGAAAAGCTACACTTGAAAACTTTGCCACCGAACATGTTTAGATACCCAAATCATACAATAATAATAACATTGGAAGGGAACTCGAATAAACTATTTAACAAGAATATGTTGTACAAAAAAGCATCACCTTTTCTGATGCATAATATTCTGAGGTTGAGTTCAAGGCACACAAAAGTAAAATGTAAACCAAAACCTGTTTATACATTTATATTACTTGAACAGCCTCTGCACTTACAGAACACAAGTTTTTATACTCTGTGTAAATGGTATGATTTTAATTGTAGCTTGCTAAATCTGCAAGACAAAGAGAACAAAAACCAAAAGGAAAGTGATTTTCGACCTTGTTTCATCCTGAAAAAGTGAAATGTTTGAAATACCTCTTTTTCAATGTCGACAACGCCCTACAGTATACGATGTACCTTGAAAGTATATGTTGACAATTACACATTTTCCTAACTTCCCATTCTGAGAAGAAAGGCTGGTAAAAAAAACACTTCTTTCTCCAGCCCCAACTGTTCTCTGAATGAAGCCGGGTCATTTGAAAATTTAACTTACAAAAGAAGTCCAGTTACACTTATACACCATGACTTCTCAAAAACGGTCAATTCATGAAAACATCAGCGGAGAGCTCACAACTGACAGAGAAAACCCTGCCACATATTTTAGTTCTGAGCAGTACATTCCCATGATGTAACATGGATACTCCTCGCAGAGAAGATGACATTGATCCGTTAAAAGTATATTTTTGAGGTCCGGCGTGAAAAGCAGTTGACAGCAGAAGATATGCGGAAAATACATGTAAAGCCCACTGCGAATCTACAAACCTATAAATTCAAGCTAACAGCGGTGAAATTACAGGACACAACCAATGTAAATGGATAACTCTAACCGTCCCGAAAAGCTTTCTTTCATGGGGTAACCCGTAACCGATACAATCCCCTGAATCTGACAGAGCGAAAATGTGAATCCAGTTTTGCTTCAAGTCCTTTTCTTAATCGAAAAGAACACTCTTCTGGGTCAAAACCCCGAAAAGTGTCATTTTACCTGGGAGAAGTACCAATCTGATTCCAAGATTTCTACACCATACAGTTTGGTGTCTAAAACCAAATTTACTTCCTTCAGCTTGATTTGGGGCAACGGGGCCACGAAGTCCAAGTTTCTGGACTGGGAAATCTTAGTTCAAGAACTGTTTAGGCATTTTAAAGCTTTTAAACTATAGATACAAAAAGTCGCATGGTAATTGGACTACTCCTGGAGCTAAAGAAAAATATCAACATTGGCTTACTTTTGTTTTCAATACATTTAGTTAGATAAAGGTCATCTTAAATTATTTAGCCACATTTATGTCAGCAGATAAATACATCTTTATTCTCTGATTAGCCACATTAAATATGATATATAAATATTTACAAAATAATATTTCTTGAAGCCCAATTCAAGATAGACCCGACTAGCTTCCACATTTCCATCACTTATAAATACAAGGTTTACTGGTATCATAGATGTCACACACAGTCTAACAACACACAAACATACACAATTTCGACCTTTTTTCTACAAGAATATCCGTCCGATGAGTTATGTCCAATTTTGAATAGAAGCAGAAAAAAATATTTCTCTGATAAAGCAAACAACATGGATGTATTTTTACAGCATTTTTTTGTCTTCCTTTTGACTTTGGTGCAAGGCATGCCAACAATGCAATGCTCCTTAACATAAGTGCAATGGCTTAAAATTCTTGCTTTCCAAGCAAACAAAAACAGGAGTCCATGCTATTTCCATTTTGGGCTAATTATCCAATTCGATTTGAATAGCTCTCGGCAATCAACTTTGCGCAGTTACTCACCAGGAGTTTAATTATTATTTTGTTCATTAAACGCTAACATTTTCATTGTCTTAGCTTTTTGACAAATTGTTCACCTTTTCTTGCAACTTTCAGGCAAACACACTGCATAATGGCATGGTGTGGATAACACATACATGAATTTATCTTTCCCTTCACAAACCATTAAAAACTTTCACAGTCTATGTACTTTGTCAATGCAAGAGCGGCACGACACTAATCTTACGATCCACATAAATTTACAACACCGCAATATAATACATCCTGACAAAGTCTTACAGACATTTCCCAAGTTAGCCCTTTGCTTGCGTTTACTTCCCCGCACACGACTAAAAAATGCAAGGCTTCTTCCAAATTTGACAGTTTGTGAAAAAACAATTCCTGAATTCTACGATTCCGTGACATTGTCTGCAATGAATTTGAAATTTTAGAATCATTTTCCACACAGTGCACCTAATGCCGACAGATTATTTGGAACTTGTGGATAAGTTGATGGAGAAAGAGTTGGCAACATACTTATATGCCTCCTTCTGAAAATTGAGTTCAGTTCTAGCGGAAATTGAAAATGGAATGTTAGCAGCAATTATTCATGTACACAAAAAGCAATTCTTTCTCTGATTCCATTCTTACACACAAGGTTAGAAAACATCCGAACATGTACACTTCGAACAAGTATGAGAATTAAGTGAACCGACAGGGACACCTGCAGTCGATTTTCAATGACATAATTTACACTTGAAAAAGGTATCAATTTCTGACACTGAATAAATGTTCAGTATACCAAACTAAGCATTTCTGTTTTACCTGTGACAAAATTCTGGTTCAAACTGTATGCAAACGTGAAGGTGAGGTGAACATGTGACTTAAATTAAAAATATTTATTCACATCTGTAAATATGTCCAACAGGTTTCACCACTGCCAAATGTGAATCGCAAATATGTTATAACGTCAAGTAAGTTTCATTTGGCACTTTCACGCAAAGACCAAGCTTTGGGGCATGATCTGATCGGAAATTTAAAAAATCTAGTCGGGGCATTTACAAACACTTGCTTCACAGACTGAAGTTTTCACTGAAGGGGAAATTCATTTCTAGCATCCAATCCAACGGACCTCCTAAACAGACAAAATTGCTATGGGCTGAGCAGAACCAGCTGAGAGCCAGCCACATGCAACAAAAACTGCGTGGCATTTTGGCAAGCGACCTGCTTTTGCTCAGCAGACATTTCTAGCCAATGTCTATGCTGAACAGATCAGTAAAGTTTGCCCCATAATGGTATCAGTGCCAAAGCTGCAGGTAGTCTAGTAGGGTTCTCCTGTTATGTTTGAAGGGACTGCTCTAAATCTCAACACAGGTCCCATTACCTCCAGTATACCCTTCTGGACAAATGAAACCAAATTACATACAGTGGTGCCAGTTTATCACTCACTGATTCCATCTTTATCATGTACCCTCAAGCTTACAATGTAATGCAAGTGCTGACTGCAAATTTACAATATGCACCTGCTCACGACCCTTTTAAGAATGTGCTAGATCAGCTCTGGGCTGTGGCTTAGGCTTTGAAGAATGCATACATAATTGTGCCTATCCACAGCTGCAGCCAACTGGTCCAACAAGGGATTTATGCTAAGAGGGGGAAAAAAAGGGGATGGTGCACGTTGGAGACGAAGATACAATGGCTCCTGCCTCTAGCCAGACATGGAGCCATACCATTACCCAGCGTCTTGAGAAGACTTTGCTAATGGCAAGGCAGAGTGAATGTTGCTGCCGTCTCTGACTGTAGGGAGTGGGTGCCTGGGTTTATGCGTGGTAATTTCATCCAGCACGGTGTAACTATTGACATTACCCGTTTTGTGGGGAGAACACCCCGCTCTCATGACTTTCCATCGAGCTGGACCGGGACAGGTTCTGCTTCAAGACAGAGGGGGAGGGGTTCGGGGAGCGAGTAGGGGAACGCGACGGGGAGGTGCAAGGGAAGAAGGTGTGCCCGGGGGATAGAGAGACGGGAGAGGAGCTCTCAGAGTGCAAGGACAGACGCCAGGACAGCTGCTCCTTCTCCATGGACAGGCGTTTCTTCTCATTCACCTCCCGCTCGTAGTTCTCCCTCAAAGTGATGTGGTCTGACGATAGTTGTCTGTGGGACCACAACATCAATACACTTATAATCCACTAACAGAAACTTAATCCTTACTCTGTTTGGATCTAAAGACCTTGTCCTTAGTCATCACTCAGAAAGTAATGCTTTGGTTTTGCTAGAAAAGGTCTGACTAAATCTTGTTGGCATTTGTTAATTAAAGAAATCGGATTAAGTATTGCCCACTAAACTTGCTGTGCAGTGCAAATATGGAACAAAATGTGGAAAATGACCATGTGTCACTTAAACTATGCTTGCCCTCGGCATATTACTAGAACTTGAAGATTAATGTGGTGCTAAGGTGCCTCTATTATAATAATTTCTGATTACAAAATTCCGGATTCCTGTCTCAGCAAACTGTGTTTTCACTTTCCGAAAATGAAAAATGTATTTTCGACTTGCAATGTGCATGGAGTTTCTGAAGAAATGAAACAGGTTCTCATAAAGCACTTTTGCCAAAAGTCACTATTGAATTAGGAAATGTCTCAAAAGTCGGAACACCAAAGAACGTTGTAACGGGGAACAACCTGAGAGAGGTGTGTTTTTAATGGGAAACCGTCATTGTGAGCTCTATAAACAAGTGTTCAGTGGGAACAGGCGTGTTCCAACCTTCGATACATTCCCTTTGATATACCCCAGACCGGGGCAAGGGCTCCACCCCTGATTGATGGTAGCTTACTGTTGATAGTCGTGTGTCTTGGCAATCATTGCTTTCTGATCCTCTACTTTGGCCTTGAGACGCTGGATCTCATCCTCTTTGGCTGGTAGCTGCTCCAACTGAAAGGATAACAATCCCAAATAAAGGATACATGCACAGATCAATACCCTGTAAGACTTGAAACAAATGGAAGAAAATTTGCCACCCCAAAACTACTCGACATGATATGCTTTGCTACATCTAGAAACAGGTACATCAACATCAAATTTCATCAGACCACAGGTGTATCCTAGCCCCAAAGGCCCACACAGTTAGGGTTAAAGACATTCACTTTATGTTTGTAAGTAGAGTACTCTAGAGCAGAACAAGGGCGCTTTGTTTGGCTTCCACCCCGTCCCTGATGCTACTCCACTACTTGGTCAGAAAGATAAGGCTTGACTTACGTCCTTCTTGAGAGCCATATTTTCCCGCCTGAGTTCAATCAGTTGATTGGTCCTGAGTTCCTCTACAGATTTCAAGCTCTCCACATCCGCTTCCAACTTCCTCTTTTCCAAGATAGCCGCCTGTGATAGGAATAAGACAGATTATTCCACTTGTAAAAACTTCCAGGTCCTCCAGTCAACTAATTACCGTAGGGCTGTGCTGAATATCTGAATATTCGAATATTATTTCCCTATTTTGAATATTCAAATGCAAAAATTCATGAAAAGGAAGGGAGAGTTTTCTTTTTTTTTTTAAATGGAAAAAATTGCACCACGGAGGCTTGTTTCAAGCAGATTAAAATGGAAAGCGCCAGAAATCTTGCGATTCAAAAAGTCAATTATCCATTTAAAAATTTCAAAGGAATGGAAAAGGCAATAAGTAAATCGTGACTGGAGATACTTTAGAAGCTATTATAGTGATTGTGTGCATTTACTGCAACTGATTTTGTATAAGGTTTAATCATCAACAATCTGCCGGTCAGTAAGACAGACTCTTCAGATATTCGATCAAACTGAAGGTTAAATATTTCGAATAGTTAATTATTCAAACTGACTCAGCCCTACAACTAATCCAATACCAAATGCCTCAATGAAGAATTCACACTGGGTGCTCACAGCTGGAAAACTGAAAAATACTGCTGAAATTCAGGTTTCGTTCTGCCAATCACTCAGAAGTCTGTGCCTGCTGCCACATGCATATCAGCTGATCACGGCAAGTTTGGTGGTTGAGAGGTGAGATATCACCGTGCCTTTGAAAACCGGTTTATGGGTATGAATCTACAATAAGCAGCCTCTGAATTTTTTGGAAGCTCTTGGAAAGAACTGAGTATACAGTGCTTACAAAGCTGTACCAACTTACTATGAAGAATGGCAAACCCCAATATTGACACTGCTCTCCCAGGGCGTAGGAAAAATTATACTGAAATAGGAGGATTTGGGATGATCAAGGTTCAAGTTTCAATCTTCATGAGGCAAGACTCCACTACACTAAAGAAGATACAACCATTTTGGACCATCATCACACAGCAAATACATGTACTTACTAGGTGTAAGTACTCACCTGCACTTTGGAATCAGAATCTTTCTGCAAGGCTTCCTCTAATCTTGTGACTCGCTCTTTAAGATTTTCACACTGGAATGTCCACTTATAAATCTCATCCTAAAAAAAAAGATCAGCACAAACCATAAGAGTAAGATATTTTGCAGGAAACAGGCTTGGGTCTTTGATCAAATCCCTCTAAAACTTGGAAAAAAGAGTGACTTTAGGTTGACACATGCTGCTTCTGCTACACCCCTGATGTGGACAGGCTGGGGTTTGCAACATTCCAGACTTGTTCTGCATACTCTGCACCAAACATGTAGAAGCAAAAGTTTGCATGCAGCGTGTAAGCCCCATCAGACGTTGTTGCTTGGTAGTAAAGCATCTTGCCTGTTTGCCCATGGAGCAGGTAGGCTAATGTGATTGACAACTGTCACAAATCTACGGTATCTAACAATCTAACAGACTGGGCAAAAAATTTTTTCTGTATAACAGTCGGGACAAACTGGCTGGTGTCTTGAATCATGTCAGAGTCTCATATCAGTGCAACTCTTAAGGAACAGTTCCCACATCCCTTGTCCTCGGCAAACTGAGCCATTTGAAAATGAGCAACTCTGCATTTCAAAGAGGCAAGATGATTCAAGCTCCACCAGCTCCAACATGTCCAGAGCATGTGAGTCAGCATCTGGCGGCACTAATAGGGTTGGTAAATGACCTGTTGCATGCTTGATTTTGTGCTTTGCACTATGGGATACCAGACTGGCTCATTCAAACTCCATAAGCCTGACTGTCAACGCCAACTCACATTGAGTTCCTGCTGCTTGACCTGCGCCTGATCCGTCATCTGTTTCTTCTCTTTCTCCACCTGCCAGTTCAGCTCTTCAATGTGCTCTTGGTGCTGCTGTTGGATCTTGGACACCTCCTCAATGTGATGCTCCTCCATCTCCTGTACGGCTTGGTGGTGAGAGGAAGTCAACTCCGAGATCTGGGAAAGAAAAACCAAAAGGGAGCTGAGTAAGAAATGTGGCCGACTACAAACTAGTTTACTACAAATCTTTTATCTAGTTAACATCAAATACTTCAGCTTAAGACTAGCATACTACCAACAAGTTGGGTCACAATTGTTGAAAAATCAGTTAGAGAGCCTGACATTTCAACTGTAGCCGAATCTTTCTCAGCATCATCGTTACTGAAATAATGTGCACTCGAACAAGCTCTCCTCATACAAAGACAATTCACTGTCTCTCCTTTCCTGTCCAAGTTGCAGTTCCGTCAGGTATGCGATTGGATCCAACACAATGCGTCTACAGGTCACTTTTCAGTTTCCTGTTTGACATTGTTGAAGAAAGTGCAGCCTATCACCCGGTTAGGCTCACTCATCACAATGGAAATTATGTGGATGAAAAATGTAGTGGGAGCATTTTGATTTACAATGCAAAAATGTCCTTGAAAGATCTTTTACCAAAAGCAAAATAGGCTTTGATGACTGGTGACTCTATTTTGTTAGGTTAAGCCACAAATTGTTGTGCCTTGTCCCTCTATCACATCTTGCGATTTTTGGACAAAATGCTGGATGAGAACTGAAACTGTTGAAACATCAATGTCCACTAGCAAGGCCTATTCAGAAGTCAGATATCAGTCAACCGATACACACCTGCTTTACATTCTCCTCTTTCAGCGAGTTCATGGCTTGTTTGTGCTCACTTTGTGCTGAGTAAGGAGGAAACAAAGAAACAACTTGAGTGATCAAATTTCTGTGTCATTCTTGGAAAAGTTTGGTGCACTTGTAAAAGGATCCAATTAAGCCTGTTGATACATGAAAAGTAACACCTTGTGTGAGTCACATCCGGAGTCTTGGCAAGAACTGAATCCGGGCCTTGGCAATGGAACCCAAGACAGGGACTTTTTGTTCCCAAGTGCAGACTTCATGACTAGTGCCTTCGGCAAATGTCCAAATCTTGAATCAAATGAAACTACATTCGTCCAGCTCAGTTTGTCTGATGGCCAAGCATTCGTGAACATGTGGTCGTGGGGGAAAACAGAAGAACAAGCTGTAATGACATGAACAATCCCGGGACATATCGAAAACCCCTACATCCAGGAACTGCATTTACCTGAATACATATTAACCTATTTTATCTGTAAACCCTTCCCCAAGAACTTAACTTCTTGATTAGATATTCCCTCCTGTAGACATACATTTTTTTTAGCTATCACTAAATAATCACTGGCCAAACTTTACAATGGGTTCAAATTTGTTGATATGTAAGCACTTCAAGGCCAGCATTTTTTCTTCAAATTCAGGTCAGTGAAAGTTACCAAGGCCACATCACTGAAAATAAAATAGGGGAGTTTTCATTCCAGAATGATTCTTGCCAAGAATACAATCACTGTACAAACTTGTTTGGAGTTGTTCTTCATGTTGGCTGTTCAATCTTTCCTCTTGCTCTTTGAGTTGCTCAAGGTGTTGTGTTTGTAGCTTGGCTACTTGTTCTTCATTACATCTCCTCGTATCTACCAACTCCCGCTGGATACAACCTAGCTCCTCCTCTTTTTGGGCTGATAAGAAAAAGACAAACCAGTTGTAGCATTTTCCTACTAAATAAATATAGGACTGTTCAAACAATTTATCATCGTAAAAACTAAACTCTAATTATAGATTCACATCTACAGCTTAGACATCTTGAAATGGCAAAAGCCTTCTACCGGCTGACTGTACAAATACATGTACATGTGACTGGTCCTTGATGGGTTTTCTGGATGTTGCACTGCATCTGCAGTTACTACACGGTAGCTTCCGGAATATGAAGTTATCATGACCAGAGTTTCAAAGGAATAACGTAGGAGGTGAGGAATGCCTGCATCATCTAGCAATCTGAAGCCTAACCGTAGAAGACCCTTCAAAATCAACCCGATTTTGGAGGATTGGGGATGATGTGTAGGATTGGGAAAGCCCCCGTGTAATACTGATGCTACTTGAACTTAAAATATCTTATCACTGGGAACCTATTAATGGTAGAATATTTTAGAAGGCTCCTTAAAAAAATGCCCAGGGAGTACTGTGGTACCTTTCATCGTTCACTGAAGAGACTAACATCTAAGCAACTCCTGACAACTAATGCATGTATATGTTATGTACATGGATTTATTAATTTCAATTTTCCGACAAGCCCAATCTTCTAGCCAATTGGTCCCCGTCATAACCTTCCTGGATCTAACAAAATCTATCTAGAAGATTTGAAGGAATTGGAAGAAGCTTTTAGAACTGAGGTAAATAAAGCCTGGCCATCATATCTTTACGTAGGCTTGAAGCTCTCCCAAATGTCAAAGTGCAAACAAAGAACGGACTATCAGGTCCATGAAGGATACCACAAAGGTGCCTCACAAAAATACTCACAGGTCAAGTCAACACTATTCAACAAACAAACGATGGGATTACTTTTATGAAACAGGCAAGTGTTACACAAGATAGACATTATAGTGTGAAACAGGAACCTGCACATTTGAAGGATTACCTGTGAGGTTCTTTGCCTCTTCAAGTTGTTGCTGAAGTTCTTGTATTCTACATTTGAGGTGCGGGTTGTCAAAGGCATCCAACTGAGAAGTCAAAAGTGGATGTTCAGGGAAATTAATGAATGTTTATCGATAGTTTATCCTTGTTATGAACGGTCAGCACTTTTTCAAATGATTAATCTTGCCGTCACAATGTTACCAAACTGTTTAAACATCTGTTTCTTCTTACAAAATATGTTTTGCCAAAAACTGGTATGAAATAATCATGTACAAACATATGAAGGTTTAGACCAAAAAGCCAGTTTCAAATACATGTACCATCAAACCAAAATTGCGATTTCTGTTTTCTCACTATCTCTTAGCACTCAACACAGCATGGTCATAAATTTCTATGTACATACACACTGTGTCTCAGTGCGAGAGAGTCAAACCATGCATTCATCCATGGTAGCCTTATTTGAGCTGCTGAATATTTTAGATCACATTGATCCAATTCACAATGTACCTGAAACATGTGGCAACTGGAGTTGCATATCATGACAGTATGAGTCTGGTTATCCAACAACTCATTCACATTTGAACAGAAAACCCGCCAGAGATTAGAGAGAAACAATTAGAAATATACACATGTACTCCAATACTGAGTAAAAAACTTGCACCCAGAAGTAACACAATACCAATCATAACTCACAACACTTGTACATGCAAGCTATTCTTTAATATCTCACCGCATGTATGAATTGGATAGGTTAAATAAACAAGTACTGATAAAAAACTGTATGGATCACCTTCATGCATGCATCAGGGAAGGCAATGACTCCATGTAATTGTACATATGCCCACAGGGACATTCCAAACAACATTACTCTCTCCCTCAGACCCTTATGAAACCACAAAACCTTCTTGTTATTATGAAATCCCCCCCCCATCTTACCGTCTGGGTGAGGTATTGTACTAATATGGTCATTGCCTCCAATCCCTGCAGCCCGTTTCTCAGACTCAGCTTGACTAGGTTCAGCTCCTTGGTGCGCGACTCGCAGAGGGCCTCCAGACGCTTGACGTCGGCCTGGGCCTTGGCCAGGATCTCTGGGTCCACTGAGGGGGCCGGGGAGGGACTGGACCGGCCCTTGGTGGATTTGGTAGTCTCAGCTTCTGGACGAAAAGCAAAGTAAAACAAACAAATAAAAACAAAAAAAATTACATGGAATCACTTTGGAGAATATAAGAATTCACTGTGTAGGAAGACACTAGCTTCTTATAAAACAGGGCAGGGCTATACATTTCAAACAAGGCTTTAACCGATGAGGTATTTTTCATTTTATCTTTGATTTCACACAAGTTTTCTGAGGATAACTATTCAAATCTTTCCTAATGTGGAATTTTCAAAGCTGTTATTTTGCCCAATGAACCACCAAAAATCTTGTCTTAACTTTCACATATAAAGTACAGAAAAAATTTTCATGTAGTCCCAAAAAAATTAGTATTACTGTATTCTTTACATGTACATGCATACAGGGAACTACTGCAGGAAAACAATACAATGTTTAAAGGGCAGCAGTGCATATTTTTGAAGAGAAAAATCAATGGGGGTGGTCCGCTCCTTCTAACCACATTAAGTTCTAGGGCAACTTCCAACTTGACTGGATTCATGTTCCATTTTTAACAAGTCCGACCACACACTCAGCTAGTGTTCATTTCTTCAACTTCATTATTGATGCACACGATGGAGAAAAGTTCAGAAGTGAGAGCTGTCAACACAAACAGGCAATGGGAAGCTGACAAAGATTAGTGAAAGCACTGCAGTGTGCTCAGTCAACTCCCGGATCCGCCACACTTCCTCGGGGGAACGGCAAGATAATCAAAAGACAACACAGCCGAGAACCCGACTGTCTGGCAGAAGAAGATGCTCAGCCAAGTGGGAATAGCAGTAAGACTGGGGGAAAGAGAGTGATGGTGACTGATTTGAGCAAGGACCATGGCATTATGGCAAGATAACATTATGGATGAATGAATCCCAGTAACAGCCTATTCAGTTGCACTGATTGCTGACAAAATGTGACTTGTGTTGACCGGTCAAGTTTTTGACAATTTGAAGCAAAATAATCAGTAAAAATGAATGTATTCCCTATTCACATTAATTTGACCGAAAATGTACATGAAACCTACAACACATGAAGGGGAGTAGCAAAGGCATTTTCTTGAAGGGGGGGGGTTGTGTGTGACAGAGTCAATTTGCCAACTTAAAACTTGTTCGTCAACCTCTTCTCGTGTAAAATTCACAAAGTGCAGGGGGGATGTTACAAGTTGTTTTCTGCATGCACCAATTTTTGGATTCATTTGTTGAAAGAAGCCACATGTATGGGGCAGCGCAAACATGCAGGAGTTTCACAAAATAGCTGGTAGCAAACACACTGCGCTGATGAAAACAACTGCAACAAGCTCGCACATATGTACTGATCAAAGAAAAGATTATGTAAACCGATCCTCAGACTAGCTGGTGCGTGCGTGCATCGCCATGGTGGCTGTTTTCACCGGCGCAGTACCTGCCATTTTGCGAGAATCCCGAGATTTTGCCCACGCTGCCCCATACATGCCGACTGGTATTAATTATTGGGGGGGTGCTGCACCCCCAAACTCCCCCTAGTCCCTACTCCCCTGAATACATGTACATGTACAGTGTAGGCTATACACCCCAAAACTGTCTCCAGGTGTCATCTTATGTTTTGCCATAAGGTTATCTTCTTGTGGAAAAAAATGAAGGATTCGTTTGGATTACTACTGGTTTGTAAACCTCTTGAACAGTAAGTCTCCAAACTTCTAATTTAACTTTTGCCTATTCTGACTGCGAAGGTTACAACAACAGGCATGATATTTGACCAGGGCAAAGGAGAAATAGGAAATAGCCCCCTGCAGATCACCCAAAGTATTATGACAACAGTACGGAATATTGAAAAGGGAGGAAAAAATAGGAAACAAAAGAAGAAAAAAAATCTGGAATCCCATTAAAATTGGAAAGCATCATGTCTTGCACATGTAGACATGGTAGACTAGGTCAAATCAACAGACACTCTGCTCCACAAAGGAATGAAAGAAATACTTGTATAACCTTTTCACCCACAGCTTTTTGTTTAGTTTCACAACACAGTGCAGATGTACATGTACTTTAGGGATTTAGGAGTACATATAAATGTAGGGAATAGGGAGTCTAGGCCTACCAGTCATTATACTAGTGGTGTAGAATTTTACTAGTGGGGGGGACACAAGGGGGCACCAGCATGGGGGCACCAGCTTCCAGTAGTGTGGTTTTTGGGGGCAAGTTTTTGTCAGCCTTGTTAAATATCCATTCATCTGCTTTTTTTTCAGTGGGAGGGCACCTACAATATAGCTGGGGGACACCCCGAATTTTGGGGGGGGCAAGTGCATGCCCAGGTCCCCTAACTATGCCACTGCTACCAGTACATGTACACAGATCTACAGATCAATGATCATGACAAGAGGACTGACTGCTGTTTCAGCAGATCTGTTATGCAGCGAATACTGTGAATACCTTATGTACACGTACATGTACCAAATGTACCCTCTTTAGAACTAACGTCTGCAGACTTCAGCATGTTGTAAGTAATGTTATCCACACCAATTTCCATGGTAAATTGTAAGCTATTGTAGCTTACAATAATCTTCTACATGTACAGTACTGTGTGTTCAGTTGCAGGTGTGGTGCAACTTCACAAAGATACTACATGTACAAATACATCACGTAATTTCATGGACGACAAGTGTTCCAGGATCACTTCTGTTGGTTTCTCTACTCGAGAACGTGTGGGGTAGGTTAATTTATCATTGCACTGCCAAACCATTCACTGATCACTGACACAATAACAGTTCAAGTTTCCTGTGAATAGAACCAACAAACTGCTGCAGGAACATGCCTTCTGACATATGGACACTCTACACACACTGCTTCATTCATTATACAGTGACTCATCTGTAATAACAAACTCGCCCAACATGAAAGACGCTGGTGCAGGCCGGGCACTTACACATGTACTATCTGTGACAGAACACTAATAAAATGTTCATTTGTTTACTCTGCGGCCAGACGAAGAAGCTAGGTTGTCTGAGTTGCACTTGAGGAAGAATTTCAAGTGACTTTATTGGAATTCTTTGTCAACTGACTGATGAAAGAGAAGCAACTCATAAAGAGCAGAAATCCCTGTGATTTCAGTAAATGCTTCCTTCATACGTGCTCTTGTTTATTGGAAGAATTCATAAATCTGACTTGAAACCGTAAACTGTGCAAATTTTAAAATCCAACTGATGCAAGTTCAAAATTGTAGAAAGTTCTACCAGTAATTGCCATGGTAACTTCAATACAAAGTAACTGAAAAAATCCCCCAAAATTGTTGGTGCACTTTCCTAACTTTAGCTGCTGTTTGCCCACTGTAACCCTGTACATGTAGTACCAACGTGTGCTTCAGCATGGTTTTTTTTTTTTACCCGTGAGCTGAGGAAAAGACAGACTGAAGACAATGTCATCTTTGTATCATTAATTTTACCGCGGTGGATGAATCTAACTTTCATACTGTCTTGCATTTCATGCATGCACAACCTTATAGATCTTCCAACATTCATATGGAAATTTAAACACTATCCAAGGGGGAAACAAGAATGCAAACCAAAATGAAGGTCTAGTGAAGGGGCCGTTTAGAATCTTTGAAAAGAAACAAAATTACCCACAGCCGTGTGGCACATGCGCAACGTGAGTCCACAGATTCTGTGAGGTGAGTCGCACCGCTATGGTCCGTTGGAGTGGAGAGCATCCGTGCAAAAACCACCGTTGCATTTTGCAAACCATTGGGATGTCAGTGGTAATCTGAATAGACTTGCTCAGACAAGAAGAGACAACAACTCCCCTGTGTAAGATCCAGTCACCTCCGCCCTTGATGGACTGGCAGCAACACACAGCAACAGAAAATGTTTCCCAAACTTCATAGGAACAAAAAGTCTCGTCAACTTTGAAGGACTCAGTTTCCAACTGGTATGCACCCCCTCTTTTGTATGACTGTGCACTTTTCACACCAATTCAGCACAGCACGGTCACATTCAACTTAATGTCAAGGCTCACAGAGAACAGGCTTAATGTACTGCTTGGGTTCACACACAAACAAACGGAAATGGAGGATTCCCTTCCCCGGAGTAACTGAAAGAGGAAATTTACAATCAAAGCTGGCTTGGCTGTCAACTGCGACAGAGTGTGGCTCAGTGTTTTCTCTACCCTCTCTCAATACTTTGCAAATTTAAGGACTCCAGTGGGGTAGGCATTGGAGAGTGAGATATGCGAGAGCAGTGACTAATGCAATTGGCAGGAAGAGGAAACTACCTGTCACTAAGACAGTGTCCTAGCAACAGTGTTTGCTTCATGAAGGTGCCGGCTTATCTTGAAACTGTTCTCCTGACGACACAATTTCTGCAACTTCAAATTCACTTCCCTATTCCTTTTCAACATTTCAGCCATAAAGTAATTTTTTGGTAGCTTTGTATTTTGCTTTTTTTTAATTCTACACTTGTATAGGTGCATGTAGAAAAATTGGATACCTGTTACATGTACTGGTACAGTGTACATGTACATGCAATTGCATGCCAGCATGGAAGTGTTTTGTAGGGTTTGGACGGTGGTAAACCCTGTACAGGCTTCAGCTCGCTATAAACACTTGTGCAATTCTCTCCTTAATTTGGTTCGGCTATTTCTTCTTGCTTTGAAAGGTTGCGCAAATACATTTGAATGACTACAAGAAACTTTCACACTCACATGTAGACCTACATGTGCATGTGCTTCAGTGTATCATCTGCATGATGCTAGCTGAGTGAAATACAGGTATAATACATCTGGCCTTAAAAATAATAACTTTTTACAAGAACTTCTCTTGAATTCTACAACACAGGTACATGTACAATCGTCAATTCAAAAATAGCTGCTTTTTTAAGTAGTTCCTCAGACCCAACCCTGTATTAAAAATGCACAACGAAACTTCTCCCTAAAACTGAGAAATGCCTACAAAGGGGTCAAAGTCATCGATGTCACTCAGGCTGTGCCAACACAGGAAGCAGTGACAGAGAACTCAACATGATTCACTTGGCTGCACACAGTGGTACATGTACCAACTGGGCAGACCTTGTCAAGTGCCTCACAGCTGTGCAGACAATCCCCATATGGGTCATCCCACGGGAGTACTGCAGGTGGGGGGGGGGGATCATGCCATATTGGGGTGAGACAGAGTGAAAATGGTTTACATGTACATGCATGAGCATGTTAAAAATCTAGGCGAAATATTAAAAAATGAAACAAAGTACAAATAACCAGAATGAACATGTTCTCTTCAATACTACAAAATGAGAGCTGGGTACCGGTGCCACAGGTTCAAACAACCGGTATTACAGATTATTTCTTCAGCAGTCCCTCAAACCCAACCCTGATGTACATTATAAAAGCACAGGAAAATGGTTTGAGGGAAACAGAAGATGCCGTGAAACTTCTCCAAGAAGACCCAACTCCTCCTCACCGTTGTCTCCAAAGTGGCAGCCAATGAGCATGTACAGTGTGTACATGTCTATCGGATAACATTATTAGCTCATCTGTTTCAGAATAGTTGACATTTTGCAAGAAGGGTGCATGTACATGTATGTGTCAAAAGTGACCACCAGATACCAGCGTACAAACTCCTGAAGGCTGGGCATAATAAAAGAATGCACTGCAACGGTTTTGGAGAAATTGTGCTTCTCCCCCTGCTACGGGTGGTTTTAGGATTAAATTTTCAATGTGCACATTACATAGACTGGACTGTTAGTGTACGCAGTGAACGTCGTATGCAGGCCTCAACCCACATCATCACTGACAAAGACAGAGTCTTGTGTTGATAAGACCAACAGGTTTTGTGCTCCTCGGAAGAAAATAAGTTGCAAATATCGGTACCGGTACAATGACATAAAGAAATCTACAGAAAATACATCCCTACATCTATGTGTAATCATTTGCAATGGCCTCTTGTCAATAACATGAAACTGAGTTATACTGATGAACACACATATTTAATAAGAGCAGGACTTACTTTCCGCCCTAATTTGAATGGCCAATATGACTGATGAACGTTTTACAAGTACATGTACGACACATGTCACAATTCATCTGAACACACAAAATGGAAAGAAAAGGCGCTGCTGTGCTGTAAGGAAAAATTCTGGCTGGTGCCTGGACTGGAGCCAAACTTCAGGTACATGATGTACATGTAGACTATGGCGGACTTATTGGGACACATCTGCACAGGCCAACAGCAGTTGGCACTGCGGGACACAGGGGGCTGGAAAAGGAACAGACTGGAGGCAGTGTGGAATACAGCCAGTAATAACGTCAGTCACCCTGGATCTTAACGCTTTCAAGTCTGGGGTGCAGTAAATCCATCCATGAGGGAACCGGAAGCCTGCTTTGGAGGTCTTCGCAACAGATGCATTGGGAAACAGGTGTTTAAATGCCTTGACCCCTTCAGCCCCCCCCCACAAAAAACTGACATTAACCAACAGCAAGCAGCTTTGTGCTTCACAAGAGCAATGTCATATTTTATACAAGGCTGGATTATCTCCACTTTTTGAGAGTGAAAAAATGTCGGTAATTCCCAACAGCCTGGTCTTTTGTTCTGAGTACAGTCTTTTGTTACAAGGCCCTGTTCCCTTTGTTCGGAGTTCAGAGACCCCGGCCACGCATATAAAGCATACGTGTCTGGATCCGGAATCCCCGGCAGGAAGTTCGTTAACCACTTATTTACAGGCCCAGTTTAAGGTGACACGGCATTGTCAAGTTCTTACCTTTGCCAACAGAGGGCCTCCTTGCAGAGTCCTTATGCTGTGCACTGTCCCCTTTCTTGCTTGGTAGCAGGGAGGTCCTAGGCAGCCTGGTTGTAGGGCCTGGGCGTCGCACTGGGGCTGTCAACAATCGATTCCAAACAATAACAAGATGAATGGCATACATTTACACAAAATTTTTCTACCGTATTTTAGTGCTTTATGGCAGCTTCGTATGCTCCATGCAGGACCAAGAGGTGGCATGTTTTTACACAGCAAAAAAACAACTCCAACATCACTTCGAAAGATACAAGTCCATGTGTACTTGGCATTTCAAAGAACTTTGCTGCACTGACCGGTTTCTGCACAGTCTCCTTGTGTGTACCAGAATCCCACCAGCCAGTCTCTACATTTATGCAGAGTAAGTACATACTGTGGTACACGTACATACCGGTATACATGCACATGGTACTTCACTCAGAAACTACAAATGGCATTGGAGTCTCTCACATGAGCCGAGGAAGAAGACATCCCTATTTCTAGAGCAAATCGGGAGTGTTTAACATAGAGTCCAAATATATTACTTCTTGCAACATTAACACTGTATACATTTTGATACCACAAACATGTAACGGTATATGGCTCAATACTGAAGAACTGCCAAATAACAGAGCACAAAACACTAGCAACCCAATGTGTCCTCACAATCCCCACACCTGCTCCCGTCAATGCTCAAGGTCAAGATTTAACTCTGACCCCCTTTGGTGTTTGTCAAATCGTGCTGAAATTGAAGGATTTAGGACTTAAGGTAAATAACCTGTAGTACTGCCCATGCACATGTATATCCACACATAACAGTGCTCAAGAGAGCTCTTCCATGCCCGTACGCTTAATACGCACAGAATGCTACACGTACTTGTATGTGCGTGTGAAGTGAACCATTCCGCATAGACTCGCACAGCAGTTTGTGGGTGGAATAAACTTTGAGATTTTCGGAAGGAAATGAGCAAATGCAATGGACAGTGTGCAGGATTCTACGCGTGGACACCCTCTATCTGCAGATGTTGTGTAATACAGTGCCAATGCAAGCAGATCTGGTGACCACAACACGAAAACAGTTCAAGCAGTGGATGAGGTTGATAGAGCCTAGAAGCACTTGGCCTGGGCCAGTTGTATCTTTAGCAATGTCAAGCACTTGTACTCCAGCCGTCTGCCTAAACTTCCTGCAAGGGGCTTTTGCCTACACACCTGGGATCCATCAGCAAACACGATGTCATGCTCCCACGCCCTGTGCAATTCAACAAATGTTCTATTCCTGTTCCTATTTCCTGCCAATTCCATGAATGCCAGGGACCATTTAATGAAAAGCTTACTCATTGGATAAGGTGCCAAATGATTTAGTATTACTTTCTGTCATGTCTGTGCGTCGTAAAGTCTTTCAGGGTACAGATTCACAAACTTTGCAGACTCATAAACTCTAGAAGATGACTTTCATCAAAACATTGTCCTGCTGGTTCTTGATCCTATCTCTTAAAGATCTCTTAAAGCTTCAAGTTCTAGTTACAAGTGCATTTGCCTACCTGCAGGTATGACTTACATGTAACATGCCCACTGCTTGTTGAAGAGAGTTGTTAACTTACCAGCATCTACAGCTGTAAGGCCATTTGGCTGGGTGTCGGCAAGCTGTGAGTCATTCTTGGACTGGTTCCCGTCAGTCTGTTTGCCAGCACTGCTCCTGGGCTTGGCCAGTGACACTGGAGCTGGCCTACTGGGTTTGGAGAAGCTGAATGCTTGGGGTTTGGGGGTATACAGCGACTGCTCTTCTGTAGAAGAAAGAAGGAGCCCGCATCACATACATGTACATGCAAAAGCTGTCTGAACAGTGCACTTGTGAGATGTGATGTAGTTACTATCCCGCACTTACAAGAGTACGAATGCTGCTAATGCAAAAAGAAGGATCCAAAAGCATTGCAGCAGATGGGACTCTATGTACAAGGATGACTTCATAGACTGCAAACAGTAGACAACAATGCTGAATGAATGTGTATGTTTTAAGCCAGCTAAATTCTGTATACTGTACATGGATGCACATTTGCAAGCAATTTTCAACTTGGTCAGTGGTAAACAGGTGCCAAGATTTGTAAATTTGAACTCTTAGACAATTAACACTGTTACTCTATCTACAATGCAATTAAAATGAGCCTTAACTGTCCAAGCTGTTTCAAATTCATAGCCTGAGGGTATACATGTATATCTGTGCCGCTATTTTTACTGAATGTGAACAATATATGTGCTGGGTGCCCGTTGCCCAAAATATCTACAAGAAAAAAGCATTATCAACTCAGTTGGAGCCAGTATTCATGAAAAGGGATACAGACACCCCCAAATGGGATTGAACCCATCACAGCATAAAAGGGGTAGTTGGGGGGTGAAGATTTGGGTGGGCCCCATGAGCTGCATTTGTCCCCCTCTGGATCCCAAACTGCACATGAGGTTATGCAGCAAAGTGTTTTGATTGACAAAATTCAGTTACACGGTCCAATGTCTGGAGCGTCAGATTATTATTGTACAACACAGAGAAGACACAGGTGACTCAGAGAAGACGCAGGTGACTCAAATAATTGATCAGATTCGGCTTGTCCCCACTGATCTGGTTTTTGTGCATTTTATGAAAGGAGCATGTATGAAAATGCCAACTCTTCTGTATGATTCTGCCTCAATCTAGGGACAAACACCCATGTCACTTTTAAAATAACACAATTTCCATGACATAGTTCTGAACTTCATGAACATGCGTGTTAATAAAAGTGTGTGAAATGAAATTTTGCAAATAAAGAAATTGAACATTTAAAGACGGAAAAAATCAGTAGTAAAATGGACGCCCAAAACAGAGTTTACTAAAAATACAAAGAGCAAATGAAACCAAAAAAGCAAAAAATATCAGATATTCAAAAAGCTAAAAAAAAAAATACAGTGCAATTTGATTTCATCACAGAAAATAAAAACGGGAGAAAGATATGAAAATATTAGAAATCTTTATTACAAACATGGATACATAGAACACACATGTCTTTAAATGCTTCAGAGACATGTTGCTTGAACCTGGGTTGGGATCAATGATTTTCTGATTTTTTTTGTTAAATGGTGAAAAATGGAGAAGCAAAATGATGGAATTTGCACAGCCATTGCAATCACCACAACGCGACAGTGGGGTCTTTTGTTCTCTTATAGCTGCTCCATAAATCAGATGGATCTGTCACCCAATGCAAGCAAGCAAGCCAAAAATAAATAAATAAATAAATAAATAAATAAAACAAAATAATAAACAAGAAACCAAAACAACAACAAAACCGACAAAAATAACTGCCAGAAAAATAAACTAATATACAGTTTATCCGTAGATTCCCTGTAGGAACCAGTGGAAAAAAGCACCAGCACAATTTAAAAAAAGGAAACGGGAAAGTGCATAAATACAGAAAGTGCCACAACAATACACCATTTCAGCTGAAGTAAACTAGTCAAGCAAAAACAATGGCGGCTGCATGTTCCAGTGCATGATCAATCATATGCTGCAACAATAGTAAGATATCGGTACATAAATGCACATACATGTACCAGTTAAAATCACATAACTCAAAGCTGTGCTAAAGCATTCCAAGCTGTGTACGTGTAGAACAAAACTGCAGAAAAATCTAGGGAGATGGTAAAAAGTAATGAATATTGTGCTGTGACAAGGCCAAAAATAAAGTATGGAACACTCAGGGTGAATGGCAAAATCACATCCAAATATTATTGAAAATGCAATGGAGGTACATATCTCAAGTCTGCAGATTTTTGATTCAAATTTCTGATGATACAAACTACTTTTTCTGAAAGCAACATTACGAATGCTTGCAATTTTGCTGCACAGTGCACAGGTCAGAAATGTGTGTACCCGACTTATTGATACCGATTTCCAGATATGTAATTTTGCAGTAGCTTGTCCGAATGACATTAAACCGTCAACATAACATTTACACAAAGTATGCCTGTCTTGCAGAAGAATGTTTGTCCACTTTTCATTTAAGGTTACATATCTGTGACATCCATCTCTACATGTACATGTACATATAGGTAGCTACATGTACTGTACATACACATGGGCTCAAATTTCAAGCAATCAGCAGTTTCCGACGTACAGAAACTACGGTCTTAATATAAACAGGTTGGATGACAATGCTGTCTCACAGTACATAATTTCTCGCCCCTTATTCCTCACAATGAATTGGTACAAAGAGATTGGCTCTTCAAGTGTTGAGGATGTAGCGCTACACACTTAGTGGGTTGCAGTTCTGTGCTCTGAGCAAAATTGCCCCTCAAATTACTGAGTTATGGCTGCCGCACGGAACCCATCAGCACTCACTGTGATGGTGTAAAATTTTGTCGATGCTCTGAATAACAGCAGACAGGCATACTTAATGTACTGTACACGTACATACATTTACATGTATAGATACACGTTGATGTACGAGTATGCAGTCTGACTTTAAGTGCCATCAGCTTCAATAAAGCCCCTTAAGCATGATTGTGCGTGATATGCTTGTGCCATCCATGAGAAACAATGAGAAATGAGGAGATGATGAGAACGGAAAAATGACACCTTGAAACCCAACTTTCCGCTTCTGCAAAAACTCAGGTACTTACTCCGGGGAGTAGGGCGAGGGCGCTTTGCGTGATGCTTAGCTGTTGTCAAAATGGCAGTTGCGTAGAAAGAACACAAATAGTGTGTTAAATCAAAATGTTTGTCTTCACTCACAGGGGGGCAAAAAATAATCAGGGTTTATAAAAACATAGGTTTGACATTTACCCAAAAAAAGTAAGGGGTGACCAGCAACTGCTATGAAATACATAGCAATTTGTGAGAGAAAACCAAGGAGTGGAAAAACACAAAGATTGGTTACAAATTGAAAACTGAACAACACATTGAGCTGAGACAAAAGAAAGAGTTGGCAGCACAAAACAGAAAGGGAATGACAGCATTAAAAGTAACACCAGAAAAACAAAAACTAGCTCAAATTCCTTTATTGCTGTTTAGGATCCACACAGTTAGCTGCAGTTACCTCCCAATCATGCTGCAGTTTGGAGGCCTACTGAAGACACAGCTTGTATTAAAATGAATCAATGGCACCGGCTACTGTTTTATATCTTATGGCATTCAAGAAAAATTGAAATTTAGTCCTACTCATCGTATGATTATACATGTAATTCAAATGGATTACAAAAGGAGGTACCAGTACTCCGTAATATGCAGGAAAAATTGCTTTGCCTCAGTGCATTTATCATTTCATAAGTAAGTGAACGGTCAAAAGGTCATGTGTAAAGCAATGTACTGATATATGTCCTACAGTAAGCAGGGTTGTGATGAATTGAGAAACACTAGTGCCTTCCATAATGGCATCTGTAAGTTTACACAGAAATTCTCTCCGTGAATGAATACCACATGCTGCGCTTTGCACAAACAAACACCTTTGCAGGGCAATGCTACATCTGCATTCTTCAAAGAATGCCTGAGCACGGCATAGCAAATGAACATTAAAATGTATTTGATCAGTTACAAATTCATCCACAGAAATTGCACAGATAGCTAGGATGCTTTGGTATCTTCCTGAGTGATGGGTCTAGAGACAAGGATCAGAGTGGTTCAGCACTTTAAAAGATAGATTACCATCTCACTCATATTTTCCTACATTCTTGATGGAAATCATGGTACATGTACATGTAATTACTTGTAAACTACACAGTAAAACACATGTTGTATGTTTGAAATTACCAATGCATAGCTGACATACATGTACACATAGTTAATAAAGGAAGCCTGACCAGCAATCTAACTTGGTTGTTTAAAAACAGAGCAATGGAGAAGACCATGAACATGTACATATGTATTATAAATGGTTTGCAAATCCACATTTAGCATATTAAGTATCTTAATCGTTTCATTTTCTCAGTGTTGACATGGTTGAATGCTTCCTCCATGCTTCTTCAGCATGAAAAGCCTTCAAAACGAAAAAAAATTCAGGCTTATTTTGAACATTTCACATATATTCCTGTAATGTGCATCAAAAATGGACACAAATAAAGCTCTATTCCATCCACTTTTATCTGAAAGCAGAACTGGAAACAGAAACCGCAGGAAAAAACAAAAACCAAACATTATACCTGTTCTACCGGTAGTACCAATATACTGATCTTGTTTGTTAAACGGGTTTTGAAGTAATGTAATGGCAATATTGTGCCGGCATAACCAGTGTGAAAACTGCTAAAAGGCTGGTGAATTAAGAGCTACCCACATGCATTAGTCTAACATGATGTACGTGTCAGATCTGGAAAACAGCAATAACCTGTTCATTCTTTGCACATGTCTACCGATTCACTGTCTGCTGACTCAAACCACACCTTGAATTAAATTAAGGAACTCAACAAGTACTATACCATAGGTTAAGTGTTAAAATAAAGACGGATTGGCTGACCCTTCTTTTCAGACTACTACATGTGCCAAAAATCACTGGTGTTTTCTTTTAAATGGTAACCTGCCTTGACGTACATGTATTCTTGTCTGGTACTGGTACATGTATGTAAAATCACAAAGCTCTGGCCAGATCATACCCAAGGTTACAAGTTTTCTCAATGGACTCAAGCTAAATGGCATGATGCGATGTGGCAAAGTCACAAAAGCAGGGAAGGATGCCGAGTACACAACAAAACCCACTTCCCATAAATGCGGGTTGCTTCAACTGCGATCATTATGTAACACATTTTACAGTCATGACATAATGCAGAAGTCTGTATTTGCCAAGGATGCTTCTATCGGGTTCTTGCAAATAAAGCCTTTTACCTTACGAAGTGAAAATGAAAATTACAGTGATCTGATGAAAATATTTTTATTGAAAACAAAAAAAGAAAAAGCTCACTCGCCCTTGAGGGATATGCCCAACCTGTTAGTTGCCTCTGGGATAAGATATGCATGGCATGAATACTGCAGCATCTCTGACATTCCGAATCTTTCTTATTAACGTTAGTGACATGCTCAGGCCAACTTGGCGAGCTCTCTCCTTCCTCCCCCCCATCCCAGTATGTGAGATTAAGAAGGTCCTGGGAGCTGGGAGATTGTTGACCAGAGACAGCACAGAGTAAACCTTACAGAGAAGGGAAATATGCCTGCACTCCCTGATGGAGGAAAGTGGGCCGTCCCTAGGGAGACCCTTAAGACTTGGAAAACATCTGCAAGTCAACTGCCTCATGGTTGATGGACTTTATGAATGCTTGCCACTGAGATACTGAATTTCATCTAGCAATTGGATCATCAGTAAAAAAAAAACAATCTTTGGTTTACTTGAAGGCCTTGATGTTTGTTTTGGAACTTATTCACATAAAAAATAACTTAAGCATTAAACTGATTTGCCCCATAGAATTTAATTTTTTTACACTGAACAATGTACTGAACGACGTGTATTACGAGATATGTGGATAGTCATTTTTTTTCTGTAATTTGCTTCAGAATTAGCGTGAACTTAAATTTATTTCTATCAAAGATTGTCACTAGAATCTCCACCAGAATTTACCCTCCAAACCCTAACCCTAACAGTCCCAAATCCTCCGATTCCAATATGATTTTACATACACCCTAGAGGGTTAGGGGCTAATGTGTAAACATACATGTACATGTACACATTTACATGTACATTCACATGTAATTTCTGGTACCAGTACTTGGTAACAAGTACGCTCTATGGCTATTCCTAACGTGGTAATAAAGCTGTGCACATTGCACAGTGGATCCAGATGTGCCTGAGCAACATGTACAATATACAAGCATCTGCATGTAATCAACTCTTCAGTGTCAAGACAACTTTTTTTAACTAGGGCACGAAGGAAACGGTTATAAATGCAGCAATGATTCATGCTAGAACAATTTATGGTTTCTGCTGATGGGGGTCCATTTGTCTTCATCTACAGGCAACTGCTTGGATACATGTAGGATACAAACAGGATCACTCCGCTAATAATTAAATTGGCGAGGGAGGGGGGGGAGAGATATCCCAGGCCCGGTCAAGATGCAGGGAAAATGTCTCCAGTGTTTGGTAGGGGATCCCTCTGGAATGCACCACCGCAAAGGAGAAGGGAAAAAAAAGAAAGAGGGAGGAAGAGAAGGAGGGGAGAGAGGAGGTTGACAGAGGTTTTTTGGTGAGTTACCGTCTGACGTGGAGGAGCTGAGTCTTGAAGACAAGGAGGCTCTGGACTCTGTCCGCTGTGAAACCTCCGAGTTGACTGTGGACGTGCTGGTTTTGCGCTCTTGGCGCGCTCGGTCCGTGTGACGCAGGGACAAGGTTGTTTTATTGGCTGGCTTGCCCCCTGCCGAGGAGTGAAAGTGGAATTATTATTATTATTATTAAATGAATTTATTAAGTGCAAATTCTGTTCAAAAATATTCAAATGCGCTGTACAACCAATAACAGAAATATTTGGATGGCAAGTACATTACATAACATCTGCAGGTTATTAATGTGGCATACTGGCAGAAAATTGAGTTATCTCTGGATGAAGGAAAATACAGTCGAAACAAAAACTTGATATGGATATGAACAGGCTATGCACAATTGCACACGTACATGTACCTTAATATGTAATATCTGTATCCCTGAAATGTAAACATTATGTTGTAGTATACACGTATGTACAAAACATGTACCGGTGTGCATCCACGAGATAAATACATGTACATGTACGTAGGTACGGTATACGTGGGCATGTACATGTACTTATAATGCAATTGTTCATTCTGTATGGTACAATGTACATGTACATGTATGTATCATGTATACATTGCACTGTGACCCTGAATACATGTATCATGCAAAAACCAAACTCCCACATGCATATTAAGGTCTTGATTTCGTCATCCCTACCCAGAAACTCATTCATGACCACAAAGTGATAACCAGGGACATGTATGAAAAGTGAAAAATTAGAAATGGTTACCAGTACCTCATCTGCTACAAGATACACTGTGGCAGATGGCATGGATGAATGTCATTTTTACTCCATATTTAACAAGTTTCTTACCACTGTTGCTGTCTCTTTTCATGTTCTGGATCAAATGTACCAGTACCCCCTTTGATACGCTGCATGTAACAGCAAATATGGCGATAAGCAAATTCACTCATTTGAGAGATGACAAAATTGTCGACTCGTTTTCCACCATTTTTGAAATGGTGATGAACCAACTCCAGTATTTGGTTCTTGTTTGGTCGGAAGAGTGAGTCACACAAGCATAACTAATGTGACGAAAACACTCAACAAGTGGTCAATGCAGAAACATGATTCTAGTTAGAATCACAAAAACACGCCCCTGTACGTAAATGAACACACTTTCTATAATTTGACAGAGGGGTTTTTGGCAAGTTATTCAAGTAAAACGGGAAGACTCTGAAAAACTCACCAATTGAGCTGCTCCTACTGCTGGTTCTTGTGCCAACACCACTGAGATCAGATTTCATGCTCCTGTTGGAGGATGACAGACTGTTGGGTTCAACCTCCAAAGAGGAGGTACTGTTCTGACCGTTAGACTTCTTGTTGGTTAAGGTAGGCTTGTTGCCTGTCAGGTCCACTGACTTTCTCCCCGTGTCAATTTTACTCCTGACCCCTCCTACATGTAGCTTGTTGCTGGTCTTCGCATCTTTGCTAGACCCAGTCTCTGTTGCCTTCTGCTTTGGAATGGTGCTTGTGGTGTTGCTGGGAGACTTGCTGGTGGTAGCGGTGGGATTCTTGCTGATCAGTTTCCAAGGGGCAGCGGTGTGGCCTTTCCTGGGTTTGCTATCTTGGGTCGGTGCATCTGGTTTGGAGTCAGTTGGTTTTGCGGCAGCGAGCTTCAGCTTGGCAGCAGCAACTTGACTCTTGCTGGATGACTCGCTGTCTCTGTTCGAGCTAAAAGACTTTGGTTGCTGGAGGTACGACGTTCGTTTCCTAGGTAACTTGGAGTGGTCACTGTTTTCTTTCCCTCTCTGGGGTTCTTTTTGCGTACCTGTAACCTTTGCAGGCTGTTGGGAATGTCCCGCATTGAATGTCTCCGGTTCAAATCTCTTTTTGCTGTAGGATGGCGAGGTCATCTCAGCCATTTCAAACTGTGTAACAGTCTCAAGCTCGGCAGACGGACACCTTTCTCTCATTCCCTTTGGCTTGTTCTGAACGTGATCATTTTCAGATGCCCCATCACCAATGACAGTACTGGCACTTTCGCTGCTCCCCTCGGATGCAAAACTTTTCTCCTTTTCAGGGCTGACACCACTGTCAAATGTTGCATTCAGAATGTTCAGAGTTATTGCTGGGCTAACTGCTTTGGCGGAACCTGGTTCTCCATTGCCTGAACTTGGATTGATCTGTGACACTGCACCTTCACGTACACTGACCTTCACAAATGTTTCTTGGCTGGGGGATGCTGTGTGACATGAAGCATTTGGTGAAAGTAAGTCAGTTGCTTCAACTGTGGGTACTTCAGCTGAAGGCCCATTACTACTGGAGACAGCATCTCTCTTAACCTCAGCCAGATTAGAGGTCTGCGGCACTTCTTGTACACCCAAATCCTCCTCTGCCTGTTGCACAAGATTTTTCCACTCGTTACTTAAATCATCGGTGAATATGCACTGGTCATCTTCACTGAGTAAGGTGTTTTCAACCCGGGGAATCTTATCGCTTGTAGAATCTGCCATTCTTTCACTTGTAGACAGAGATTTTTCAAGGGGCACACTGGGACTAACTTTGTCAATAAACTCATTCATTGCACTGTTGTTTCTAGTTCTACTACCTGCTATTTGAGTGGATTCTGCGTTATTCAATGTTGGGTCTACTTCTATATTGTTGTTTGCTAGGTCATTTCTGTTATCTGTAGTCACTTTGCCCGCCTCTAAATCTCTGCTGATTGTTGGGACTTGAGGTTCGCTGACCTCCTGTTGTTCTATTTCACTGAAGTCTTCTGAGTCTTTATGCTCCGATAGGCTTGTGTCTAGATTTGTTGCTTCTGAATCCATGCTCCAGGCCGGCACTAAGAAAGAAGGAATACTTTCAGATGTCGAGTCAGAGGCAACTAATAGATCATCATCGACAACTGTCAGAGCATCCAAGATTTTCGGTTTACAGTGGTCCGTGAGTTGTGGCTCAGTGAGTTGTGGCTCTGTAAATGTTTCCTCAAAGGTTGGGGGCACTTTGTTTTGAGGACTCTCCAGGGGAATGTTACAGTCTTTCAAGGCCTGTTCGAACTCCTCTGGAGTCAGCAGATCAAACCTCAGTCTGCCTGTGGGTGTGTCTAGCGTTGATGGCACAGCCCAGAATTCATTGTACTCAATATCGTCCTCCTCTGTGTCTAAATGATCATAAGTGCTTCTGACGTCAGATTGTGGAATCCCATCTGATTCCCAGAAGTAGGTATTTTCACTTGATGATACTGGTGTGGATGTGACTTTATTACCAGGCTCCCAAGATAGTGGGGACGCCTTCTTCTCTACGTCAAAAGTTAAGTTGAGGTCTTTGGTAGCAGACGACGCAGTGTCTTTGCGACTTTTCTTCTTCCCTGTTATCGGGGAGACTCTGTGTGGCCCAGCCCGAACTTCAAAAGTTTCGTTGAGGTTGGTTTTGGGTCTGGATCCACTTTCTCTTCGCAATTTCAATTCCTCGCCATCTGCATTGGTGTCATCTTGCAACAGCTGTGTCAGGTCATTGAGACTTGGTCGCGAGGATAGTCCCTTTTTAAGGCTTCCGCAAGGTGACTTCTTGACTCTAGGACTAGATTGTTCAGGGGTTCTCTTCTGTGATGCAGGGCTTCTCTCTGTTGGCTGCGGCCGGCTTGCAGGGCTATGCTCACGAACTAGCGTAAAGGTAGCATCATGGGATTTTACGGAGGGGGATTTCGATTGGATGGATGGCAGTCTACTGGTCGGCAGTGTCTTGTCATGAGTCCAGCCCGGGACAGTGATGCCAGAGTCCGCGGGGCTGATTCTCTTTTTCTGAAACAGTTTGCTGCTGTTTGGTGCCTTCTCTGAAGAAAAACACTCAATTCTCGTTACTTCAGACCTTGTGGGCAAGCTCTTTCTGCCCACAGTTACCTTGCATGGAGCCTTGTCCTCAGTCACAAGTAAAGATTTGGGTCTGGCAATTTTCCCGCTGACTCCGAGAGCTGGTATCTTACTGGAAGGTTTTGATTCCTTCCCACTTCCTGGCTGTGATGAAGGTCTAAGCTTTCCGCTCGTGTTTGGCGCCAGCTCTAATGGTTTCACTTCACCGGCTGAGTTCACAGCCTGCACTTTGAAGGCGTGGATGAATATCCCATGGCTGGGGCTGCACTTGAAATACTGGATCCCATCCACACTGCCGTCGTGCTTGCCGAGGGGTTCATCCAACCGGATCCCACACAGGCACCCCTGGGAGAAGTGGGTCTTCCCCTTGAACTCTAGCGTTCCCACTCGCCCGTCTGCTGTCCAGACTCGCTGTCCAATCAGGAGATGCTTGCTCTGTAAGACGCCCGACCTCTGAGGGATTCCAGAGCCCGCGGATGTGGGTGAGACACGGAGAGGTTTAAGTTCCGGTGACTTGAGTTTGCTGGGAACGGGCTTCGGAGATTTCAGAAGGGATTGACGGTGTCCAGCGGCTGGAAGCCTGCTCTCAACCTGTGTGGCCTGTTTAAAATAAATCATAAAAGCACATTCAGTTCCATGGTTTTCTTTTATCAACATAAAGAGGCCGACACATTGTGACGTTTTGGGATGACAAATCAACCATCATCGCTACTAAAACTGGATTGTAATGCAGTCGCTTTTTATTCATCTCCTGTGGTACAATGATGCAGACTGATTCAGATTTCACTGGCTGAATCACACACTCAGGGAAAATGGAAGAATATTGAAGCTCATTAATATGAACCAAACCTTACAGAATCAATGCACAGGTTGCCACAGCAGTGTTTCTACCGGTCTACCAGTATCTGAAAATTAAAACTAAACAATTCATGTACATGTATACAGTTACATGTACGTGTACTTTCAGTATGTACATGTACGAGAACTGTACTGTACATGTATCAGCATAGAGTTTATTAGATCAGTAACCACACACTGTACATGTACATGTACCATACATGTACATGTACATACATACTGTACATGTACGATATGTACATCTATACCATATGCGAACATGTGTACAGTAAACATCTACATGTATATGTATCATACATGTGTATCTGGACATATACATGTACAACGTACGTGCATGTACATGAATAATACATTTCTAGCTACAGTTATGCTTTGTAATTGAATTTAATTACGTAGAGGTTAAAACAAGTGTTCATTCAAAGAGAAAACAATTTCATGATACGGCATGCTAATCTCTTCCACTTCAATTGCACATTTGCCTTTTGTATATTGGTAAAGTGACCACCAGCTCACACAGGGGTATGCACATGTACATGTATGGGTATACATGTATACGTGTATCGGTATGTACATGTACATGAGTATGATTTTTACAATTTTGAACAATATACAGGATAACTGTCATTTTAAATCATCATGTGCCTGCATGTGCAATGGGACATTGTACATGCGCACACAGTCACTGTACCTGTATAATGGTACATGTACACTGTAGATATACACGGAAACCTTCCATTCCTGTCATGTACATGTACTGCACTTGTACCTCCAAATCACTATGAGCAGTAGATATGATGTTCCAAGGCTAAAGTGTACATGTATTGGCGTTGTGTATGTATAGTGAATATTCTTGTCTTCAAACTACAGTACATGCACTGGCACTTGCAGTACATGTAGAGTGCACGTACATGTACATGTATCTCTGGTACATATGCACAGTAGAAATTGTGGAAAGTTGCCTACATAATAGGCCTATGTACAGTACATGTACCTCCCTTTCTGCTTGTAATGAAAACTTACTCGTGTTGAGAACATTTGCTAAACACTCAATTTGTGTTTGTATGTACATGCACAGCACAAACAAGCATGTCTGCACTTTCTAAAATGAAAGTCTGTAATCACTGCTCATTCAACGTCAGAAGCGACATATCCTGTATACAGTATACCAGAATGCAATACATGTATTTTACTGTAAGTGCATTTAATAGACAAAAATTCACTCTTGAACCACAGTAATCATCGATTACTATGCCAACCAGGAGTCCTGACCTAAGGCTTTATTACCTGTGGAGTTGGTATTGATGAGTCATACATGAACATGTACACTCACTGCCAGCATGGCAGGCCCATGATAATGCAGACTGCTTGGCTTCACAATGAATACTCGGGGTGCAATGGGAGTTTCAGGTGATGAAGTGAGAATGAAAAGGCCGAGGGTCTTTTGTCCCAGATAAAAACAGATTGATTTCAGCACCCTTTCACAAAGGAAACTGTGCACTGTATCAAATCTTCGGTAAATCCAAAGCCATGTAACAAAGAAGCTTTTGAATAAAATATCTTTTGACAAAAACTGTGCATGTGTACGGGCCCCGGTTCAAGACATTTTCTAAAGAACTGTAACTAGTCTTGGAACTTCTCACTGCAAGGCATTTCAAAGAAAGAAATTTAGCAATCAAGACACCATTTTATGTTTATGTACATGTATGCATACCGACATGAGGTACATGAAATTTTGTGCACAAATGGAAGCACGGGGTATACCGGTCGTTTTGTAATTTAGGGCCTAATATTTTATCACTTGAATATTTCACGCCCAAATATTAAACTTTAATTTCATCACAAGAATAGTTTCTACTTATGCCTGGCGAAGTATTATTATTCCAAATATATTGTATAAATAGACAAGATGTCAGTATCTGGGAACAAAAGTAATTCACAATAATTCAATAGTAACTGTTTTGCAACCTTACAGTGTTAGAAAATTTATTCTGTTTCATGTTTTTCTCAGATGACAGGAAATGCATGTTCCTCAAGGCTGAAGCACAGTGCAGCTTGCATGCACCAAAACAGAATTTTTCAATAAATACTGTAAAATTAGCCTATATCCTACATGTACACACGTACACTTCAAGGTTTCAAGAAAAAAGCTTGGAATTAAGTATTTATCTATCTTACAAATGCAATTTTCTTTTTATGCACAAAAATTGATCATTCTGCTGTTCTTCAAAGAAGTGTAAAATTCCTTTTAGTCAATTCACTGGAATATTCTAACAAAAACATACATGTAAGAACTAGATCATCAAGTACTGCATAATTAAGCAGTAAACTGACTTCTCAAATGATTTCATCACAACTGCCGCACATATTCATGAACTTGATTGCAGAAAATGGAAAGCATTACCATACATATGCGAGTAAACTCGCATATGTATGGAGTCTTTTATCATGTTAGATACAAATGAAACCATTTTACACTGCATAAAAATTCAAATTGAGATCCAAAGCACTCCAGACCACTTGTTCCACAAATTTGTAATTCAAACAATATCCAACCTCCCAAACAAATCTGAGTGATAGCTAAAAAGTGCAAGAAAATGACATCTACATGTAGATAAGAGTAGAACTCCAGAGTCCAAAATACCAGTATGCAGATATTTGTTTTTAATTCTGCAACAAAAAGTCAGAAGTATTTTATAAATTGGCTTACCCAAAATGGTGTAAATTCTGTAGGGTGCATGTGGGGATATATAAAGGCTGGTTGAGCCATCGAGAAATGTGGCTTCCTCAAGAGACAAGTGAATCATGGAGACGTGTACTGGTACATGTACATTCATGTACACACACCCAGTACGTGTTTAACCACTATGCGCCGGCCTTCTACAACTAACAGTGTACATGTGAGCAATATTTGTCCTGTGCTCAGTTGACCAGACACATCTGCTGACAAAATATGCTGCATCTCCATTAGATGCAAGTTGAGGGGGGGTAGGCTCAGCCTTCATGCATATTTATGACATGCGGTTCTGCGCCTGCTGATGTCACTGGCCGTCGCCAAGCAACCATTCCTAATTGTCATTAAAATGGTAAATTCTGCATGAACACCTGCGTGTACAGGTACATCTACTAAATTAATAGCAGTCACATCAGTGCTGGATTCTTCCATCACTGGCAGAACTAATCGACACTTGAATTAAATTAGCACAATGGATTTTTTAGTCAGTGCTACTGTACCAACATATTTATAGAATTTTAAGTGCCTTACAGTTACATGTCAATGTACGTACAATGATGGTTGAGTAACCCATGTACATGTATACATGTGCACGGGTATACACAAATGTACATGTACATATGCAGTGTAGAAATACATAATGAACCGGTAACATGTACATTTCATGCATCCTTTTCCTGTACATACCCGTACATGTACAGGTACATATTGACCCTTAAATGCATGTACTGCAATATTTAATTGTACATACATGTAAGTGCCATATGAACAATGAACATGATACACTGTCCCATATGCACTTGCTATCTTCTACATGAGATAATACATGTACAGGTACGTATTGACCCTTAAATGCACGTAATGCAATTTTTAATTGTACATACACGTAAGTGCCATATGAACAATGAACATGATACACTGTCCCATATGCGCTCGCTATCTTCTACATGAGATAATACATGTACAGTACATTTATGGTACATGTACAATGTACATGTAAGCATTTTCTCATGCAGGAGAACAAGTGCTCAGTACATGTACATGCCTGTACTTGTACATACACATGTATTAACTGCAAATTTGCGTTCTTTCTTCTTTCTTTCAGTCATTCTAAATTACTAAAAATAATCTCTTCAACTTCAGACGTACATGTACATATATCAGTAATGTCCCTGTGTGTGGCATATGCATGCTTTTTGTTGTAGATGGTGTAAAACCCAGGTAGACGTACGTACCGGTACTGTATAAAAATAAGTCATGGAATCATCCAGAATCATGTACTTTGTACACATGTATGTTTAAATTTAGTACATGTACCGATAAGTACAGTACATGTACAGTACATGTACATTACGTGTACTGAACAGTCCATGACTTCTGGTACATATGCATAGGCAAAAATGCTGATAAAGAAATATTGATATTGATGTGCAAGGTACATGTACAACTGCTAGAACGTACCCCAATATCTGCATAGGTACATGTAATCAGGCCCACTAACATGTACATGTACATTTACCAAACCAATCAATAAACTTACAACCCTGGTGAAACGTTGCCCATTAATATGGCGTATTTAACATATCATTAAAAATCAATCATTTAACCTGTCTTTGTTTACCAAGCACACACCAACTGAACGGAAATATTATTGCATGATAAACATCATGTACATGTACTGTACAGGTACATGTACAGTATGTACCAGTTCTGTCACGTATTCCATTCACAGTACAAAGAGACAATAGGACTTGTACATTTATCTTTGTCGATGTACCGGCAAATACCCAGATTTGAGCAATTTCCCAGTTCTTTACTGATATGTGTGTTGGGTGTGATCAGTCAATATGCACGATCCCAGATTGTATGGAATGCCAAAGAGGCAAAAACTTGGAAGCAACACATTGATTGCTCTTCAATATCGATCAATTGTTCTTCTACGGTACATCTGTCGATCGTTCTTTTACATCAATCGATCGTTCCCCTACATCAATCTCTTTTGATCAATGAAAAAAGAGCGATGATGAAAAACCAATGAAGTTACCAATGAACTTTTCACAACTGTGAACTACATGTAGAGGGAAAAGACAATTAGCTGATCGTGGAATAATCCACAAATCATGCAGTAAGATCGACTGATCGCACAAAGATCGAGTGACCACGCAAATTGACTGATCATACACAACATGTACAGTGTACATAAACCTCACAGCTGATACATGTACATGTACATACATTGTACCGGTACATGCATACATTTTAACTTCAACATCTTACGGAAGGACAAGCTAACAGTGTCTAAGACAGCCAACAGTTTCAAGAAGTTCAACTTCAGAAAATTAATATCTTTCTTTTTGAATTAAAAAAAAAAAAGAAACTACCCCGATACCTGCGTGTACAAACAAAAACAATGAACTGAAAACATTCGTTTTCCAAGAGCTTTCCTAACTACTGAATCACTGAAAACTGACACGTTTGTTTGTACACAGGTAGAACCTGGAAGTATGCAATCTCCGCAAATCGCTTCCTCCATCACGATTCGGCGAATGACATACATGTACATGTATGGACGCACCCACGCATCTCAATTATCAGACAAAATGCACGCATGAATGAACATCTGACGACTGGGATACCAGCAACAAATTGTCCCTGATCGTGGTTCAGTGACAGAATGTTTAATGAGTGTAATACATGGACATGTAGGAATAATCTGGCTCTCATCCTTTGCCAATTGTTCAGGGGAATATCAGTCACTTTATCTACCTCCATGGTACATGTATGATGGAAAGCAATTAGAATTCTCATTGCAGACATTGTACGGTACATGAAAACATGCGTATGTGTGCATGTAAAGTTCATCTTGAAGAACAGCTTGGCAATTGATGGAAGTCTTGTCCTCAGAGAAACTCACCAATTTCAAATCATTGGGTACACGTGACCCGCTCTGCCAAACTGAGTCTCAAGTCACCCGGCCACTTTTGAGTTTTGCTTTTTGTATTAGACCGAGGAATTTTGAGCTCTGTTTTGATGTGTCCCTCAGTTTGGTATGATGCAAATGGACATTGTGTAAGAAGATAAAATGTTGAGGATTCCTATTTAACACTGTGTAAGTTTCTTTCAAAGGCCTTTACATGTACATGTAACTCTACAGTGGCTCCGGCAAGCAGTTTGCCTTGTATGACGTACAGCTTTCCCTACAGTTCTCTGTACAAGTATTCTGTTCGGTGATATGAAGTTGTGCTCCCCTCAACACAGTAAACAAAACAACAGACAGTTTGAACTGCTATTTCCCAGTTTTTAAAAATTTGTTTGTCAACTGACCAATCTCACTTGCAAAATAAAAATGCACAAACTTGTATGTCTGTATATAATGTGGATACATACATGTACAAGGCCTTGTTCACGCTTTGAACTTTGCAGAACTGAAGAAAATTATTTGCATGTTGTATCCATACATGGAGCAGGTGAACGAACGAAAAGCTTAAACAGGTGGGAGAGACTTGCTTTATTTACACATCCTAGGTAAAGTTACATGCAGCAGCTGGTAGGCAAAACATGTGCGCTCATGTACCGGTACTTTCAAAATGCAATTTGTTTCTAAAAATATATGTACATGTAATACATGTTGGTCTACATACATGTAGTGCCACAGCATTTCCTTGGAGAAAATTGTTGAGCCATAAAACGTGCGGATCAACTGCAACCATACTTTCCAATCAGAAATGGCGGAGGGGCAGAGACATGTACCTGTACCTCAGTTTCCTAAGTACAAGTAAAGGTTAATGAGTTGTTGACTTACCAGTAACTTGGGGGGGGGGTGGTTCCAGGGCCAAAAGGTCAAACAAGAATTAAAATTGCTGGATAAACATTCAGGTTAATCAAGTACACTGTACATGTAGAGTAGCATTTGGGTATCACCTTGATGTTACCAGGTGATGAAAGGATCATAAATAGGATTATGGACTCATACATGTATAAGCTCTGAGGGTGACCTTAGATTCCTGAAGCTAGCCACTTTAGTTCACTCATCATTACTTCAGTGGTTACACATTGCACAGAGAGGAAAAAATGTTGCATCCTGACTTTACATGTACAGTACATGTGCAGTACTTCAGTGGTAGCGTGCACAATCTATATGTACATGAATCGAGAAACTTTTGTATTTCTAATGAAATTGAACATTTTTCTCTTTTCAGCATTTCTGCAATGTTCATGTACATACATGTACGTAAGTACTGTACGTGTGATAACATTCTTTGCCCAATGGACAATCTACCACTCCATGCAGTTTGCACAGCTAGCCCTTCTGGACTTAACTTTTTCCATGCATGTACAAGTACCCCAGTACACGATCATTGTCACCAGAACTGTGGGGTTCGACGTTCGCCGCGCTCCCACAGAAGGGCGGACGTCAATTAAAACCCACAGTTCTAGGGATACATGATCACATGTTTCAATGTTGTCACACAATATGGTTCAAAATGTATCCTACCCATATGCACAGTACAAGTACATGTAGAATACCTCTTCCATGTACTGATACTACAGAACAAGGAAATAGATACTGTACCTACCTGTAGGCTGGTACATGTACAGTACGACTTATAAAGTTTTGCTCTCCATCCTTACCATGGTGGACAGCTAATGAAACTTCATCTACATCACATTTACAAACAGGGTACTATAAATTTCCCAGAAAATCTTTGACCCACAGCAACCAGCATGTTCAAAGGCACACAGAAGCATGTCAGGACCTCCAGCTATAATGGACAGAGATAAACACCATGACCATGTCCATACCATGCAGTGGCTGGATATTTGAAGGAAGTCCACCATATAGAAAGGTCCGCCCAAGCAAAACGTGTCCGTGTGATGTGGATCAGACCTGACGACAGTGTTCAGGTCTGTGGCTTTCTCATCAGTATCAAGACCTGAGATTAATGCGTTCTCCAACCTTTCTATGTTAACTCACTCCCACAAGTAGGGCAGAACCTCCATATACCCGTAGGCAGACACAGCCATGACAGTCAGGCAAGATTTGCCTGTACCAGTATATGATCACATGCATGCACATCACAGCAGCAAGGGACCCACACACCACACATGAGCGACTGCTATTATGTAACCTCCTCCAAGCCAAAATGCTTGCCCTTTTGTCAAAGTCAACAATAGGTGCATTGTGACCTGATCCTGGATGGGTGTATTGACCCATGAGATGTACAGTGTGTACAGGGGCTTAAGTTAACTAATGGGATTGATTTCATTGATTATAACTGGAACATTTCAGGGCAATGTGATTATTGATTTCAAACAAATGATTCAGACAAGATTTGACTGTGATTAGCTGGGATGGCTACAACTCAGTTAAGTGGGGAAAGGTCCAAATGCTGTTTGATGTCAGTCTGTTCCTCAGTAAACACTTATGGTGCTCAGTTCCAAACACAAATTTAAGCAGATTAGTAGTTGAAAATCGTTCAGAATCAAAACTTGTCTAAACCCTGTCAGAACTCTTATATATATTGTATGTACCAAACGTAGACTGTCTTATTACAAACCATTATTTAGAGTTTTTTGATATTCCCATTAAGATTTGATAAAAGACAATGAAATAAAAGATGCAATTTAATTAAGCCTAAAATGAACATGACTTCTTACTTGGATATTTGTACGGTACATCTGGCCATTTCCCCATGCGAAAAAGTTCCGAGGAAATCTCAAAATTACCCAACATATATCAATAAGTGAATCTTGTCTGACTGTCGAGGCATCTGCCAGTCAAGTATTTATTTTTAGCCCCCCCCGGATACTCACTGAAGAATCTGCTTGGGGAGATAAACTGGGCAATTCCCGACAGGAGATACAGAAAGGGCTTGGGGTACCCTCAGCAGAGATCCTTGGTGACAACGAATTCACTTCAAAACTTTGGACGGCACATTTGAAGCCTTTGGGCAATGCTCATAGTGCTAACAAGAAAGATGCTATTATACAGTGGCGTTTAAGCATTTTCCGAGGGCATGCACATGTACATGATTGAATTACATATGCACATGTACAAGTGAGTAAGCCAACTTAGGCCCTTCATGTATTTATAAGCAATGAATCAAGATTTTCGATATTGTATGATGTCAGGAAACAATGAAATTATTTCAAATTCTGGATTTATAAGCGATGATTCAAGATTTTCAATATTACATGTCAGGAAAGAAATTATTTTAAATTCTAGATTTATATGCAAATAATAAAGATTGGTGCAACACGAGAAGGATAGAGGTCACCCACATGTCAAGTATTCAACCCCCCAAAATAAAAATTTCCAAATACATCCATAGTGTAGGCCTATACATGTACATGAAGGCACAACGTGTTTCACAGACTAAGCAAAGTATTCTCCAAAAGGTCAAACCATCTTGTTTTTCAAATAACAGTATACATCAGATGCAAAGCTCATTCAAATATTTGAGATTCCTGTCTGGAGCATTAGAGACATGCATGTTAAAATTCAAGCGTGTTGTAATCGAAATTCCCACCTGCATTCTGGATGGTCGGGCAGGCCTGAGTCACCGGGCAGACACAGATGGTGAAATCTTCACTGCGAGGGGAGATGAGCCAAGGTTGTTGAGATAAAGCGCCCAGAAAAGTACATACATGTACCGGTACAGCCTCATGGTTAACACATATACACATGTAAATGTATCTCACCAGAGATACGTGTACATGTAGATGAGAGCGTTGAATTTTGGAGTGGTTTCAAGTTGAGTTCAAGCTGATAACTGATGAAGTTCTGGGTGATTACATCTTAGCTGAAGCTGTGCCATTCAGAATTTAAGACAAAGTTCAATGCAGTCCCTTTTTTTTTGTCAGAAGAAACAAAAACGACACAATGGCCACATCTTTTGCCAGAAACAAGAGCTGTATTGAGCTACCTGTAACCCAAGCAGGAGTGAAATGATGCACAACTGAGGTTGACGATGACAAAATATGCAACTTGGGAATGTCCATGTACTATTGAAAGTTTACTTCAGACTGGCCTCAGTACTAAACATCCATATCAATCACAGTCATTCATGTAGTGTATTCCATCACTCCACAACGGCACTGTTTGGAGCATAAATCCATCCCACACTGCTTTCCTCACAGTCTCTCGGAACATGGCATTCATCAGGAGCTCATTCCGCTGTCCTGAGTTCCACAAATTTATCACTGGTTGTTCATGGCCTATCAGGATATCCCACTGTTGGCAGCAATTTCGAGCATCGAAACCTCTAGTATAAGCTTCTCCATCAAGTTAAAAAATCCCTAAATAGACCTTCATCTCAATTACAGATACCGGTACGATCATGTCCTTTTTATCAGGTGACAAGTTCCTCCATGTTCCAATGAGTCTCAAATGAAACTCCTGTGGTTCTGAAGTTCTCTAATTATTAACACTTTAGTGCCTAGAAATTTGGGTGAGGCTGACAACACTTCAGGCTTCAGCGGTGACGGCGGACCAACTGAAAAGATCTGTAACCCATCCCGGGCATTATGTGCTGCAGCCAAGTTTATACGACAAAGTTACCGCATCCTTGGGAGAGCCCACATACTATGACTTCTCCAGATGGTGGAATGCTGGAGTAGCTCAAGTCATCAAACACGCCATCCTTCTGCAGCCAAGTATATCCACAGAATATTAGCAGCATGCAGCCTTCACTTATAATTTGATATCACAGTAATTATAATGAAGAACACGGCAATGTAAGTGAGTGCCCTCGGGGCAATCTAGCATTTCACTGGCACTGTTTTAATAAATTTGTCATGTTCAACTTGCAGGATAAATAATCAGTTGTTCCTTCAGTTGTCCAGTTAGTAGGTGGATGAAAGGTACATGTAGGCCTACATGTAACTGTACATGTACATCCACATATTGGCATCTTGGTAGCCTCTGGCATAAGCCTACATGTACCAGCTGATCCACTGTACTGATATCTCCATCCAGTCACTCACTGCTCCAAACTACTGATGCTACAACCAGAACCAACTAGTATAGTCCTCACTACATCCATTGTCCAACTGACAAGGAAGGCTGTACTCCTGATCACAGAGTGTTGACAAATACCCAACCATTCCAGTTGGCCAATGATGAACCATGCTGGTAAGACCGCAGATGGTTCTGAGCGACACCTCAATCATTACTGGGCCTGGGGTACTAGGAGAGAGAGACCGGTAGCAGGGGAGGCAAAAGGTCAGAGCTGGGATGTTGTTACTGTGGGCTCATGACACAAACACACTTGCGCATACAGTGCATGTAAGTGAGGAGACTCAAAGTCCGACCACTGGTCGGTAGCCCGCTGAGTCCACCCACCGGTGTCCTTTCTTCTACGCCAATTGCCTCATAGCTCTATCTCAGCTGGCGGCGTCAATCCCCATTAGGTGAGCACCCAGAATGCAGCAGGGGTCTTAAGCATAACACAGTTAATCCGATGAGGGGGAACAAGGTTAACTAATGGATTGTGGCAGGCACCAGTTCCCAAGTGATGCCTGCATGCACTTGCACTTGAGATACCACAGGCTACAACTGATACAATGTATTACATCCTACCACAGAATATACATTATATCCATTGAGGGGGGTTTCTTCAATTAACTGAACCAATATTTCCCCGAGGCATACAGATTGGTGCCGGTAACTGTACTGTTGTTACACACACTGAATGGTTTGTGAACCTTATGCTTTATTCAGTGACCATACAGTTCAAGGATAGTGCATTTATAGGAGATGAAAGAACCTTCAATTGTTTGTGGTATGGCCAACGCAATGTGTACTGCCAGATTGAAACACATAAAATGATTAACGGCAAAAACTGTCGTCATGGAAACGACAAGAAAGTGAAAATGAATGACCTGCACAGCACAGTGACACACAATTCTTGTTTATTGATGGGAAGTTCTTAAGGAGTGTTGAGGAGGTCAAGTCTAACCTGGTTCAACAATTGTGGCAATGAATTGGCTGAATTGAGCTGTGTTACAATACACTCTTCCCAGATACCCCGGTATGCGGAGTCTCACTGATTTCATGTACAGGTACTGGTTACATGCATACCGGCACATTTTGTAAGGAAGTACATGTACATGTACACTGTAGTTGACTGTATGGATGTACATGTATTAAAGTCATAACACATTTATCAAAATAATAATTTCTGTTTGTTTTTGGTAAATCGCAACTCACTTTCTCGGTGTCATTTAGTAAATCATTTTCAACATTCCTGCTTTTTCCCCATTGGCACAGCGGGATAATTATGTTAGTGCCATCGTAATCAAATTCAAGTGCATATCGATCCTGAGTGGGGTTCAACAGCACTGAATGGACATGTATACTATCCTGGTAATGTATATATGTACTCCCACGGCTAAATACTTTCATTTCAAAAATGAAATTTAATGACAAAGGCCTTTGAAGTCGTGTAGGCCTACATGTACATGTACCATACATGTATACATGTACACAGTATATCTACATGTATTTGTCTCAAATAAAGAATGCCAAATGAACTTCTTTTTTTTTCTTTGTATGCTACTTCCATTTATGTATATATAATTGTCATTCCTCTTTTTTAATCCAAGCAAAGTTTAAATGTACATGTACAAAGTATCTAATTTTAACATATTCATGATGTTCTTACAGCCCCATGCCAGTGTAATCCTTTTTATTGAAAATAAATAAGAAGTACATCTTACTGCTAACTTATTTTGGTGTAAACTTTCCTTCAATTTAGCTCTCGGGCTGTGACAGGAGGGTAAAATAAACTACATAGCAATAATAATATGCTGATGTAGACCTAAAGAACACAGTAATTTATGTATGTTCAAAAAGACACCTGACATAATTCGTCCAAAGCACAGCTCATAATAGTCCTGCTTAGCTTTGTCAGCCTTTAGTTACATGTACAGGTACATCTCCATCTCCTTGGCATCTTTAAATCACCTTCCGAGCAGGCTGGACTAGACTGGACAGGTTCAAGTAAAATTTGGGCAGAAAGGTAGCCTTTTTCAAAGATGTCCAAATGTATGCAAAGGCCTTCTGTAGAATATCAGGGCCCTGTGTAGAGTGTCTGATAAAGTTAACATGAGTGTAGAGAAATGTTTAACCGTGTTTTTGGGGGGGGGGTTGTTTAAAGTAATTTATGTGGGTGATTCCAGAAATTGGGGGTCCGTTTTTTTCTGTGTCCCTGTCACATCTGACGTTTGATGTTGTAAGTTCAGAACACATTTTCTAATTTCCAAGAGTGATGAATTACATGTAATGCAAATTGCCTGCCAAACAAACTGTGATAGTGTGAAATCAATTCCGATGGTGTTTCCATTTCAAGTAACAAAGGTCAGATGTAAACTGCCACACTTTTTGACCCCTACATGTAATTACCCATGTACATGTACCTCTGGGATACTGTACTTCAGCTTTGTGTAAGCATGACAGCCAACAAAATAGGTTTATAATATACAGGTAGCATGCATAATTGAAAACCAATTCCACCTTTTATATTCCAAATTAAAGTCCGGCTCATTTTTCCAGAACTTGCTGTCAGTGCAAAAAGCATTTGTTAAAAAGGCTGAGCCCACCCACATACATGTGAGCCCATTGCAGTCCTCAAATTGCTTCAGTAAATACATCACTAAAATGTAAGGGTTCCACTTTGGGAATATAGATCGGCATTTGCAGGCACTAGCATACCAGCTCCATGGTGGCTCTGAAAGACCACTGCAGGCCAATGTCCGCCATGAAGCAGCGAAAAAGAGGTTAATCAGTTCAACTGACCTTAAGTTTGCATTTACAGATTGACCCAGCGTGTTATTTTTAAGCAAATGAAATTATCCTTGGATTTGCAAGGGAGTTACTTTTGGGTTGAAAATAGTACTAGGGAAAAAATTAGGGGAGTTTCGCTTTCTTTTTTTTTTCCTCTTGAATTTCAATCGACGGGGAAACGTTGAACATGTGCCGGTACCATGAAGAAGTTGATAAAAAACTGAAAACTCAACACATCTTCACTAGCATTACAACCAAAGGACACATTCAAACGAGGACCACATTTCGGCTAACTCTGATCAAACGCATGTTTAATAGTTGATGATGGTTAGACTAGTTTGGTTGACTATTCATGACCACCCTACCAAGGTCGGTCACACTGTTGGTACATGTCATCATTGCCACTTTAAACAGCACAAAAGAGAGGACCAGTTATCAGAAAACTGATGGAAAAGTTATTATGTCATCAGCAGTAAACAATCATTTTCACTTTACTGTTGTTTAGAGCACTTCAACTTCACTAATTGGTGTTCACTAATTAACTACTAGTCTTTGATCAAACCCACAATTGTAGATTCAAATTAAATAAAACAAGACCTTTCATTTCAGGGGTGTCCAATGAAGTGGACTTCAGATACAGGTGTGCAAATATGCAATGAAAATGTGTTTTTCTTTTTTAATAAAAACACCTATGTCTTTGCTAAAATCCTGCACTTTTGGTACCCATTTTGGAAGATCATTTTAAAATGTAAAATGCAAGTGTTACTGCAACTTTTTGTCAGTTCAAAGAGAAAGGTTCATATCTCTGCTGAAAGAGCTGTTTTGTTTACTAGTACATGTACATATGTCTCTTCTATTTTTCAACTTGAGCCAAAGATGGGTGGGCAAGCAACCCACATGTAACTAACCAACGTTTTTGGCAATGCTTTAAACAGAGGAGAGAAAAATGAGAAATGACATTACAACAATTTTATGGGATACTGCTGAGGATAAATTACCATTGCTCAGCAGTAGTCCGTGAAAGAGACCTTGATAAAGATGCATCTAAGATTACATGTAGGTCTATGTGACTGATTACAACTCACAAATCAAGTACCAAGATGGTTATTTGTGGCTCTGTTATACATGTAAATCCTAGAGAGATGAGCTAGTACATGTTGTATTGATGGTACCAAAATGAAGAATTGATCCCTACACAAAAAGGCCCCAAAGCAGTGCAACATTGCTTAAAATGTAACAAAACTAACAGCGGAATTGCCGACGAATCAGTTCATGTGAACAACGAACTCTCTGGCAGAAAAAGATACGAACAAACTCGAGGTGACAGCACCTGACTTCTGGTGTACATGTACATCAAGCACTTCATAATGTACATTGATGTTTTCTTAAGTACAGATTATTCTGTTTCACAATTTTTGATTTGGTCTGATTTTTATGTAAATTGAAACTATTTTTGCCCTTGGGCCACCAGTTTCAATGTTTTCTGATGCATTATATATATATTTGATTCATTGTCACATCATGTAGTGTACATGTAGGCCCTCAATTCCAAGACGGAGGCTACAAAGTGGCCCCCTCTCTGCTCACAGCAGCAGGTTTCACATTTGATGACAGCAGAGGGTCAATGTTGCATCAACATTCAATTGCCTTCTCAATTAAATATCAAATTCCTTTAAAAAGTCCATTCACTTGCAGGAAAGTTCATGGAGTAGCAGAGTTCAATGGGGGTTACTGCATC